GTTATTGTGATGTCAGAACAACATGCAGTAGCAGAGACCTGTGCCCACAATTATTTTTGGATGATAAACATTTGTATCAGGTCAACAAAACATGGGCATAGTAACAATATTTTTATACTACATTTATCCATTTTAAATATACTAACCTCACTCCTTTGTAACAACTAAGGCAAAAATGTAATTAATACAGAAACTATTTTCAGGACCCCACCCTGAAGTTTTGGGACGCCACCTTGGGTCCCGACCCCAACTTTGGGAAATACTGTCCTAAACGCTTCATCATTGACTCCATTCCTCTTGTTCTTACAGGACCAAACTTAAAAGCTGTTGCTCATCATGTCTGACAGTAATAATTATCCAGGTTTTCTTTTTACAACTTCTGATAAAAAGGTGCATTTTAGACTTCTTATCATCGGACTAAAGAAAAATAAAGGATGATCATAACGACATTAAATCAAATCAACTTTATTTATAAACCATAAATTAAAACTGCGGCCACTGAAACAAAGTGCTGTACATAGAAGTGCTGTACAAACAAAACAAATCAACAATAAAAGCAAGCAAAAACAGCTTCAACAGAACAAGAACAATCTCACGCTAGGTTAAAAAGATTCAATTCAAGATTCAAAGATTCAAATATTCAAAGTGTTTATTGTTAAATGCGCAGATGAAAAACACGTTTCCTTGAGCAATGAAATTCTTACTTTGTCGTCCATTTTTGAAAGCTGAGATACAACCAGTGAATAGAAAAGCCAGTCAATAGAAACAAGTTTTAAGAATAGTTTTTTTAAAAACAGGCAATGAGGAGGCTGGCTCATTCCAGAGCTTCGGAGCAGCAACAGAAAAATGCTCGATCCCCTCTGAGAGTTCACTTAGTCCTGAATGGCAACTGATCAGCTGACCGGAGATACCATGAAGGGGCATAAGGGTGGAGAAGCTCAGAGAAATAGGGTGGGGCAAGGCTGTTTAAAGATGCATAAACAAATAAAACACCCTAAAATGAACAAAATGCAGAATTTCTTAATGCTTACCTAAAGAAGTGATGGTATTTCTCTACTTATTCTTTAAAAAACCAATGCAGCAGGGAAATAAAAGTTAGCAAGTCATGAAAACTCAAATGTCCCATCAAAGAGATAAATTTTAATAAGTATTATTAAGTTAATTCTATTAAAAGGAACACTATTATTCTCTTCTTTTTATGTCTGCAGCCCTGACCAGTAATTACGCCGTTAAGGAGAGCAAGCAAACAGAGTAAGCAATTTGCTCTGCAGATCTGTGGCAGAGCACAAAACATTCCTGGATGAGTGGGAAGTGATGGTATTAATTCCCTCATTCCTCTTCTGCTTTATATATCTGATACTCTCTGATTTCCATCCCAACCAGGCAGACCCACTCAGCTGTTGGTGATAAAAGAGTGCAAGTGTTATTTCTGTAATAGGTATTGCTCTCTTGTTTTTGGCCATTACTCTTTCGCCGACTGCCTCAGCAGGCACCTGTTTAGCGAATCAGTTTTTTTTGAAAACATCACAAAAACGAGCCTGTTGTGAATCTGGGGCTGGTCTGTGTGCCATTTATCTTCATGGTTTTGTGTTAAAAACAGCCAGGCTTCTCTCCACCTGGTACCATCTTCTCGTTACCATTTATTGTAGTTAGGTGGGATTGACATCCAATTGAATTTCACCCTTACTGTTCAGCTCACCTTCTTCTCTGCTGCACATCATCTGGCTGCTTTTGCAAAATTGGACATGAAGGCTTTTATTTGCTTTCTCTTTTAGAGGATATGAACAAGCAGTAGTTTCAAAAATAATTTGTGAAAAAAATATGTAAAATAACCTTAATGATCATTATTATATGTAAATAAGGTGGTATTGATACAATGGTGAAAATCATTATCATTTTCCTTAAAATTGCAAGTCTAATCAAAGTAGACTCAATGCTTTCTGATTAATTTGCAACTTCTTTAGTCAAATTCAAATATTGATCAGCAGACGTTCAAATCTTCAGTCAGCATGATGTCATGTGACTCACTTGGACTGTAGCTGTACTGCAAGACCTTTTTTTTTCCCTGACTGGCCACCTTAAAACTACCATATTTATTCAAGTATAATACATAAAATTAAATCCATAAATCATCCATAAAGTTGGGGGGTAGTACTATACTCGGATAAATATTTTTACTTATGTATTTTATCTGAAATATCGGCTTCATTCTGAGTCTGGAAATGAGAGACCGCGTCGTAAAAAGCAGTTGAAATGAGCTGTGAAAAAAAAGGGGGGAAAAGCAGTTCTGCAATGATAACGAACTAACGGCATTAGCGTGTAACCGGGCCGCTCCTCCAGCAACAACAAACACATGTTCGTCTGTAATGGCTGACATCTACTGGTGTTCTGAAAAAGTTTGTATCCCTGAAAAAAAGTTTCCCCACCAGAGGGGGCGCTCATGAGAAGGATGTAATCTGCTTTTGCCCCAGAAGATGGCCCAAATCTCATGTGAAGTCTCTGACTTTTGTGTTGGCGCATCCTGGTGGACTATGTGTAAAATGCCAGAATTCATATGATGCTGCTACAGCTGATATATATTTGTTGTCAAAATACCTTTTAGTACATATGCTGTTAAAATAAAATGAACAATCCAATGATCATTTTACTGATATGTATAAAGACTGCAAAGGCTGAAAAAATCTTGAAGTCTGTATGAAATTGGAGGTAGTTTGAGGATTAAATTTGTTATGCTTTTTAAGCTCAAAAAAGGGGGGTTCGTATTATACATGAGATCGTATTGTACACAAATAAATACAGTAAGTATCTTTGTTTCTTTAACAAAAATATCTCAAAAACCACTGGATGAACTATATATTGAATGAACTACATCTACCAATTTACTTTCGGACTCAACTCCATTCAAGATGGCCACCACAGATAATTAAACTCAGCAAACAATTCTTGGCTAAAACTTATTTTATGGATATTGAGCAAATTTGGTGTGGGAGTAATTCCCAACACATTTTGAATGGTAGCGTATCTTTGCTTAACCTCTGACCTGCAAGGCAGAGAGCGATCCGCACTGACTTTTCACAATTACTTTGGAATTCTCAAGAGTTAGCTTTTGATTTTCAGGGAAAAATATCCTTTTATTAAACCAGTGCATAGCTAAATTTTTATGCAAAGTTGTTATGCTTTGTTTCTAAAGGCAGCCTTCCTTGCAGAACTAATATGCTGGTCAAATAAATACATGCAGCGAATGCGCAACAATGAAAGTTTTAAGCTAATGGAATCCTGCACACATATTCCTAATGTGTTTGAATATATTTGTAGATTATATGTATACAATAATCATTGGTAATTTAGCAGTGAAATGGGAAATAACTGTTGCACGGAAATGTTAAAAAGTAATAACTACTTCTCCCTTAAAAGTAGTGACCAATACAGTTACTACTGTTAAGAGAAGCTTTTTTACATTTTGGTTAATCCCACAGTGTCTATGAGGAACAAGACATCTGAAATAAATAAATAAATAAGTTAATCAGCCCAACAGAGATGCTATCATAAACAGAGAAAGTAATATTTGTGTGCGTCACAAAATCTTAATTAAACAAACAGATACAATTTCAGCATATGTCTGTGAGATGATTTGTTCAACTGTGTGCAGATACGGTCGGAGTTTATGACTTAATTACATCGAGCGAGGTCACTGCCCTCCATTTCAGAGAATAGAGATAGCTGCAAGTACATATAATTTGTTTCTGCTTTTTACCCTTAGCTTAGATTGGCTGTTCAGATTTGCACCAAATGAATCCAGTTCTACCCTTGAACATTTTTTTACTCAACATTTCAGAAAATCTAAAAAAAAGGGTCATAAATGCAAGCTACTCTTAAAAAAAGTACAAAAATATTTCTCTTTTTTTTCTTATATTATTTGTTTTTATACAAGATTTGACCGAGTGAAGACATTTTATAAAATTTGCCTTATACATCAACATAAAAACTAATTGAAGTCAGTAAAGAGCTGGACGTGAAAGTATGTGTCATGTTGATGTTGGCCTGAATTATTTAGTCATAACTTTCATGTCATGATGATGCATGTTCAATTTTTATGTTCAAATTCAGAAGCTCAGTGTGAGGCTGGAGAGGAGTTGCATTTGAAGGAATGTAAATTGGAAAAGTGGGGGAGAGGCAGAACAAGAGCCAAGTGACAAGTAATCATTACATAGATTTGGGGAGTGACACTGGGCCTTTGAAGATGCTCACATCCCACTGAGCGTTAGCCCTTTCGTGCTAACTGTGCCAAACACAGCGCAGAGAGCATCTCTCCTCTCGGTGAACACTAGCAGTGAGATTAGAGCTTCTTTTATTCCAACAAAGGGGATTAAAGGCTACGAGAAAGGCGAGAGGACCGCTCCCATGGAGGGGCCGGGTTGAATTATTTACACCTTCAAGTCTTTACACCAAAAAGAAAAGCACAGCTTTGGAGCACTGGAGGCACATCCTACTGACCAAACAATCAGGTAAGCACAGAGAAATGTGATCTTGTATGATGCCACACATGCAAGCAGATGTTAAGAAGTAGATTTCCATAAGAATACACTAAAACACAGCACAAGAGTGTAAATTATGTGGAAGCTCCAAAGTGTCCAAAGTTGGACAGCTGCACAGATATCTCTCAGCAGACATGGCCACTCATCACTACTTTCTGTACTCAGAAAAGTACAACTTTCTTTGAACACATCTTTGCTCTTAAAGTGAGCCATTAACGTGGGAAGGTGTGTGTGTAAACGTCCAGAGTTTTACACTTTTACACTCATCACATATTCCTGCTGGTTGCATAAGCCCTCTATGTCCAAGGGTGGTTCAGCAGAAGCTGCATCTGTGATGAGGATGTCACACCAAATGTTAACAGTTACACCCAGGATGAGCTGCAGCTGTACAGCCACTTTAACGACTCGCAAATATTCCAATTAAAAAAGCAGCGCACACATCAGTCGTAGTCGTCCGTCACTTACCCCCTTTATTCCATCTGCCCTTGGTCCTTGCTTGACAGGTCAGTTCGGGGCATCCAGACAGCACCGAGAGAAAAAAAACAAGTTTAAACACAGACAAAAATCCAGACTTTGCCCTGGAAAACATGTCCAAGAGTTGCTGGCAGCCGAGTCACTTTCACATGGCTGTGTTTCCTCCTAAAGCGGCGCGGCTGTGGCGCATGGTAACCCACGCGTGGGCTGTCATCATCAGTCACGCTGGTGTCAGCAGTGGGTTCCTCGTCCTACCATGCTGCTTTGTGGTGCCCCAGCTGGGTGCCGATCTTCAGTGATGCTGGAGATCCAAGTGGAGCCGCATCTCCGCCGCTGTAAGCCCTGCCTCAGCAGAGCGCACAGGAATCAGACGGGAACACACAGCTCGCCACGCGGCGGCACAGCTCGGCTTCGCTCTGTACAGTGCATAGGAACTCGCTTTCACACGGGCTCGCTCACACACACACATTCACGCTCCCTCCTTTCTCCATCTCTCTCACGCTCACTGCTGCCACCACTACTGATGATGCTGCTGCTGCCGCCGCCGCCGCTGCTGCTGAATTATTTCCTGCCCTCCTCACTCTGGATTTCTCTGGGAATTCATTCCTCAGTGCTCTATTTTTGCTTAGAGCTGCACTTTGTGGAGCAGACAAGAGGTGGAAGCAAATCCACCTTCAGCACTCTACGAACAAGTTTCTATTGGTGAGTCGGGCTGTGGCTGGCTGATAGTGCAGACTCATAAAGGCGAGTCAGTCAAAAAAAGTAGCTTGAAAGCAGTGGGACCGCAGGAAAAACGAGGTTTGTAAAAGAGAATTTTCATCAGCAGGAATTTTGCACGAGATTATTTACTACGCAGCAGGGTGAGGAGTTACTTTAGAGAAGCAGGAAAAACAAGAAGAAAGGAGGAAAAGCAGATCAGGAAGAAGTAATTGAAAAATATAGCCTATTAAACTGCCTCTTTAGCTACAGCTAATGGAGAGAAAAGATGTTCCACTTGTCAACAAACCAGCGCTAAAAATGTCAAAGTTGTTTTGCAAAGACATGTTAACATTGTTCTCAGAAATTCAGTCACTTCTTCCAGTTTATAGCCTGAACACGTTTATACGCCTCCTACAAGATCTGTTTATATTGTCAGCAAGACAAACATTTAAATCTAATGTAAAATATATAAACTAGGGGTGCAACAATACATGTACCCGTATCGAACTGTTCAATACGGTGTTTTAGGTTCAATACACACTTGTATGGAACAATACAGATTTTTAAAATTTACTTTATCAGCTTGTCTTCTGAAGATGCTCTGTGTTGAAGGATCAGTGGATCTGTGTGCGACTACTCCACCTAGGCTGCACAGTCGAGCTCAGATCCACTGAGAAACTTGCTGTTTCAGCAACATTTAATTTAAAAACTGTACTTTTGAGGTTAAACAAATGTTCATAATTAATTTCAATAAATTGCAAGTTAAAAAGGGGATGGAAATTACTTTTTTTTGTATCGAAAAAATATTGAACCGTGAGAGTAAAGTGTCGAAATGAACCATTTCTGTATCATTGCACCCCTGATATAAACTGACCAGAACATTTTAAATATCAATTCAACAGTCAGATCATATACAATCCAATCATTGCATTGTGTTACTTTTTTTGAGTCAAAGGCAGGTTGCTCCTATCCTTCTGCCCAGGTAGTCCTCTCATCACAGGTTCAGATAGAAACAAACAAGACAGAAAAAAAACCCAGAGAAAACCCACACCTGCACAAGGAAAATATGAACACTTAGCAAATAAAAGTTGCAGCCTAGTTTCTAACCTGCATCCTTCTTGTTGTGAGGCAACAACTTTAAATATTGGTCTAAGTATTTTTTTATCATTGATGAGCAGATATATTTTTGTGTATGACCCCTCCTTTGTAAGCATAATGTTTACCAAGATTTTATCCCGATTTCTCAAAGCTCTGAGGCCATAATGTCCCCAAGTTCATAAAACAGGTACTTCACAAGTGAGGAGTATATGAGCATGGTGTTGTAAACCACACTATGGCTTTAATGTCCTAATTACAGCTTCTGAGGAAACCTATCATCAAGTTCATAATTTTTTACACACAGCACAAATTAATATTCTGAACCCACACAGTCTTTACCGGTTTACCACCCACCCATTCCAATTCCTTCACGCTATCTTGCTTTCTCTTCATAACAACCTGCAACAACACCAGGAACTATAATTAAGCTGCCGGCACATGAAGAGAGAGATGTGTATTTTCTCCAAGACACGACTCGGAGCATATGGTGACAATACACATTTCCAATGACAAATAAACAAGCAGAATGTTTGCCTCTCTCTGGGCTATTACACAGTTGCTAAAATCATAAAGTATGTCTGTCTGCTTCTAATTGAGATGCACATTAACAAAAAGAAGTCTGGACCAGACGAGGTAGATTAAAACTTTAGCAATAAAAAGTATCTCATTGTGTCTCTGTATTTTGTTATTGATAAGCTAGATAAAATAAGATATGTTTATACTCAATTTAAAAAAGTAAAAAGGTGTAAAACTACCCTGAAAACAATCAATTCTTTGCAAAACTAAGAGACACCAACTGGAAAGTTTGTCTGGAATTTCTTCATAAAACAAAGCTGACCAGCAAGGAGAAAAGAAAACTACAATATTAAGGAGGAAAGAAGCAACACATTACCTGTTGCTTTACATGCTTGTCTTATGTTGAAAAATAATAACATAACCTTATTGACCAAAGCTTGGAAGTGACATGCATAATATGTGATATGCTCTGCAAAAGATTGCAATGACTGTCAGCTACTAACACACCAAATTTTAATTTAATGTCTGTAAAAGGCTTTGTTCATGGTGATTTAGGGGAACTCAAAAAGGAACAGAAACTGTGTGCAATGTGCTTGAATTATGTATTTAGAACAACACTCAGCTACAACCAAACCAAAGTTTAGCTCACTGTTTTGCTAGAGGTATGGACAAGAATGCACAAATGTACTCGCACAGGCACAGATTAAAAAACATGTTTACATAGCCTGCTAAAAACCAGCCCATATTCGTAGACTTTCAGATGTTGAGAAATTATTTTTAGCTCAAGACATGGACTCTGTAGAAGTTTAAAATAATTGCATCTGATTTACTCAATCGCTAATGTTTGGCCGTGATGTAGCACCAGCTTGACCAGGAAGGTAAGCTAAGAAGCTAACTGGAAATTGTGTGTCCCCTACTGGGAAGAGTGAAGTACCGAGCCGAACGAGATGGCTGTAAATGAGTGCTGCAGGCTTTGTGAAGCAAATTCAATTTAATTTGAAAACCTTGTCAACACGGACTGGCTTCATTCACTTCCTCCACTGCCATTGCTAAACTACAGGCAGACTGAAACGGAGCAGAAAATCACTGTCGTTGTTCTCAACTCCCCCTTCTGTTTGTACCGGAGAAATCCTTGTCTATATGAAAAACCCCAGAAGGGGCAGAGAAGGGAAACTATTGAACGGAACTGTGTAGGAAGGCAAGGGCCAGGCTAATGCTTTTACAATCTCTTTCTCACATCTGGCAACACAGTGGGTCAGTGGTTAACACTGATGCCTCACAGCAAGAAGGTCCTGGGTTTGATCTCCGGTTGAGCTCTGGCGTCTTTCTGTGAGGAGTTTGCATGTTCTTTGTGCTTGATTGGGTTTTCTCTGGGTACTCTGGTTTCCCCAACACCCCAAAAACATGTACAATAGCCTTCCAGCCCAGGAGACCCTTGCAAAAGAGATCTGGGATTCACCTGGTTAAATAATGGTAAAATTTAAAAAAATCTCACTCCTAGAGACACCAAATACACAATAAAATGCATTTAATGGATAAAAAAGGGGATTTTACATGGTGTGTCCCCTTTAACACCATTTTGCAATTGACAGCAGGCGATAACACACACTACTGTTCTTATTGATACAACCAGTTCATTATGATCAAATTTAACAAAAGCTAAAACACTATTAAACGCTGATGTCTAATACCAATCACAAATCATTTCATTAGTAGTAAAATGACACAATGCAGAAATCAGTAAAACACAATTTTAGAATTCCATGTTAATATGTTCAGAAAAAAAAAAAAAAAACTTCAGAGACACAAAACAGCCCAGCTATAAAAAGGGACAGACTGTCTGGTGCCTCATGTGTAAAATTAGTTCACTCAGTCATAAATGTGATGGAGTGTACCTGGAATTAGCATTCAAAGTGTCTTTTCCTAAATCCCAATGAGCTCATTAAACTAGCCATTCAAAGTTTTTAATTCATTTTACTTCTTGCTGATTTCATGCATTAGTACAAAAAGAGAAGGAAATGAGGAGGAAAGATAAGCCGGATGAAAGCAGAACTTCTGCACAATGTGATAGTCGAACAGATGGAGAAAACGAGCAGAAGTGTTGTTAAATACTGTCACCAGAGCAGTCCCTACTACAGTGGAAAGAGTGAAGAATAGCAGAGTTTAGAGAAGGAGAGGATGAGGGAACCCCTACATCTATACTGGTAAGTCCGTCAGCTTATCACCCCCAGACAAGAGCCCCCTGGATAAATGTGGTCAAGCAGGACAGGAGCCCAGCTTCAGCAGTGATGGGGTGCAGGACAGCGATAAGGATGAATCTCCACTGGGCGAAATGTGCGAGCAAGGCAAGAGGCCCCGGGCTGAGAAACTCAGCCAACAGCAATGTTCATTCCAGCTCTCGCTGCCTAAACCTCTTAAAAAATTTACACACAGGCATTCAACACACTCAGCAAATATAGGTTACCGCACGCGGCCGTGTGTCTTTAATGTGACTGCATGTGCACACGTTTGATTGCACATCTCGCTAAAGAAACTCCGAAAGTAAGGCGTGTGCGGGTTGAGCGGGGAAAAGGCTCGAAATTTTTGACAGAAAACGAGAGAGGGAGCGAGCCAGACAGAGAAAGAAGTCGTCTCCTTCATGTTTTTTCGATGACAGCCGCTTGAAAACGGACCATGAAATTTGCTTTTTCACAGGAAGTGACAGACCGAGCACCATGAATTGATCCCCTGATGGAGATCTGGCTCTTTGTGCAGTCATTTTCTCCTCTGCGCATCTGCCTGCCCAGATACTGGATAATCTACTCGCTGCCGGCATTCCTAATCCACCTATCCATCCCCATTCACTCCGCCCATGTGTGTCCCAGCACAGAACAAGGGTGTACTTTGGAAGTCGATTACGGAATAGATTTAGTTGTTTATCTGTCTCAAAATTTCTGCTGTTCTGCCCGGAAATTATTACTTTTCCTGCAACACTGTCTAATTCACGATCAGGCGTCTAATTATAACTCATCAACATCAAAGCAACAATAATCATACAATCAAGGACAGACCCTGTGTGTTGAAAGACTTTTTTTCTTGAATCTTGTCAAGTTACAATATTAAATTGGCTATATTAAACAAAAAAAAAAGTTAAGGAAAATGTTGCACTACATTGAATGAATGATATATTTTTGTTGATATGTC